GGTACCAGCTTCTGTGGTACTGTCTCACCCATTAAGACAGGCAAATGGGCAGAAATCTTAATTTCAGACCTGATCTTATAGCCCTTACTCAAATATTTCTATTGGGTTCAACAATATTAACAATATTTCCATTGGCTTCATGTGACTAAGGGATGCAGGGTTGGAGCATCCTGCACTGCTACAGTAACAGCTACAGTGTGTTCTGTCTAATGTCTGTGCATTCCTTTTACTCTTTTTCAACAGACCATAAGTAAACATACTAATATGCCTCCTATAAGCTATCTTTTCTGGCAGTCGTTTGTCTTTTTGTCTTCCCTACTCTTAAATCCCTTAGCTTGCTAGCTTGGTGGAAACTGTTTAAGTGTACAACACAAATTCTCCACTGAGGTTTGGCTACCCAACAAGTTATTCAAGTGGCTTTGTCTCATGGGGTTTCTCTTCATCCTCTGATTTTCCAGGTTACTCCAATATCCTTGAACCTATAATTTATCATAATCTCATCTAAAGGCTTTGAAATAATAAAGAGTTTAAATTGAACTTTTTGGCTGAATGCCCTCCAAAATGTAACTTCATCAGTGGACACTGAATATTCCAAGCGCTATTCAGAGTTTAAACAGCCTTGGGGATTTTCAGTCTAGTTCAGTGTTGTGAAATTGATGTCTGCCTGCTGTAATCGGGCATATTGGCCTTATCCCTCTCAACAGGTTGGTTGTCTTGGTCTGCCTGGACTCCCGTTAAGATACAACTTTCCAAAGACATCAAAGTAATTTGCTCTCAACACATTTACTTTGGCAGTACTCCAGGGATGGATTGTGGAGGTGGTATTGGGGAAATGTTGTTTTCCTGGTTTATTTCTAAACTTTCATAACATGACAAAAGACAGAGAAGCACTAGAAAAAAATCAAGTGACAAGTCTAGAAGATTTCACGTTCCAAATGAATTCAAAGATTGGTAATGACAAAAAAGATTTGGCAAAATCATGCTAGAAAGACTTTAAATGATCAGCTTTCCCCACTACCTTGAAACCAAGGCACAGAAAGTACATTAAAACATAAGCTTGAACATGAAGAACCTGGGGAATTGGTGATGGGATAATAAGTTACTGGTTCAAATCCAGAGCAGGTTGGAAGTAACCAAAATTTAGTGTAATCTAATGGCTGTTCAGTGGCCATTGCAAAATGAGTTTGGTAGTCTCAGTCCAGTTACTAGTGGCCAGGATGTCCACACTGGTCTTGACTCTAATTTTTCCCTTTGTAGGCACTCTCCACAGAGAGATCAATGATTGAGGGCCTGAACCAAATCATATTATTTAATTTATTTGTACAATGGCAGCACCTAGAGACCCCAGCTAAGATGAGGGTCCTGGTGCACTGGTTACTAAACAACCACACAGTAAGAGGTAGTCCCCATAGGACTTACACTCTCACTAGAAAATAGAGGGAAAGAGTTAGTGTGGGACTTGGATTCAGTTCCTTGCTCTGCATAAGTTACCTGTGTGACCATGGGAAAATCGTAGTTTCTCTGGTCCGGTTCCACAAAGGTACTTAGGTGCCCAAGTCCCAGTTTTAGGCTCCACTGCGATCCACAAAACTCCCACTTGGGTGCCTAAGCTCACTCGGCAGCTAAGCGTCTGCAGTAGAAGTTTCCTTTGTGCCTAAGCTTCTGTCATTGGACACACACAAGGCTACCTCCCTCTAAGCACCCAGACACCTATCTCCCATCTAAGCCTCAGAGCAATCCACAAAGTTGGGAGAAGATATGTGGTCCTCCACCAAACTTGCATGCAAGGTCTGGACCTTGGGTCTCCCACCTCAGTGCCCAAACCATTAAGCTTCAGAGTCTTTCTTGCCGTCTCTCTGGTTCAGTGACTCTTTCATTGTTTATCCGTTGTGCTAAAATCCTTTCTTTCCCCACATATAGAAGGGGAAATTACACCCAGGTCTTCCATGTGCCAGGTGAGAGCTCTCACTACTGGATTAAAAGATATAGGCTGGGCATCACTTCCTCCTCTGGTTCGCTTGTGTAGAGCAAGGCAGATGCCTAGCTCATTCTCCCAAGAAATGAGTTAGGTGCCCAAGCCACCAGATTCCAGAAGAGGGATTCCTGGTTGTAGATCACTGCAGCCCAATCTTCAGTGCCTATTTCCATCAGAGGGGTGGGGCTTAGTAAACACCCTTCTCATCAGCATCTCTCATTGGCTAGCTTAGGCAGTTCCCATCTAGTGTTCTGGCTTCTGTGGATCACATTCTTAGGCACATATCTCCCCATCCATTGTATAGGTAGCCTAGTTGCCCAACTGTGGCTTTGTGGCTTGCAGTGTTGTGTGGTTTTTCTAAAATCTCCTAAAAGTTAGATATTGCTCAGCATTGTAATGTCTAAATCCCTTTGTGGATCTGGGGTTCCTAATCTGTAAAATGGGGACATAGCATTTCCCTGTAATGGGGCGTTGTGAAGCTTGAGATGCACTCAGATGTTACAGTGGTGGGGGGCATGTGAGATTCCCAGATAGAGAAAAGAAGTACTATCATACAAATTTTACAGATGGGGGAACTGCGGACAGAGATTAATTGTTGTGGTTTTGCCAAGGCCACACAGGAAGTCTGTGGCAGAGCAGGGGCTTGAATCCAAATCGCCTGATTTCCCCTTCAAAAGCCCCAGTCCATTCTTTTTCTCCTGGGAAGCCTTGTCATTGACTTAAAGGAATCAAGTGCTGGATGAGGATGGAGAGCAAACTACCCTCTCATCTGTATTCTTGTCAGGGTGGAGGAAGTTTGCATTACCACTACTTTTGCTGTGAGTCAGTAGAGTAAGATAAATTAAAGTGGGAGCTATGGAGACTTTATCTAGGTATGTATGTGACTCTCCCTGTCATCACAGTATCTAAGCACCTCTCAAGAGAAAAAAACACATACAAACGACTATGAGGGGGGGAAAAACATATCTAAAATGCAGACATACGGCATAGGTTTTTCTCTGTCAGCTAACTCATCTGCTCCTGAAGCTAATTACTATTTAAAAGGAAAAAGTAAGCCGAAAGAGTGTTGTGAGTCGGAAAAGAATGCTTTTATTGTTTGATCCTGTGCTGCTAAAATGTGAAAATTACACTCAAATTCCAACCATATGAATATTAGGGTTTGTTGTTTTAAATGGAAGCTGTGAGGTTGTCTCTCCATTTACAGAAAATGATAATTATCACGTCTTACCATAAGACATCTGCATTTCCTCACTTTAAGTGCTAGGAAATGCAAACAGACCAGAGTTTAAGCATGACAATTAAGTGGATTTATGACTGTTTTTTTCTTCACTAAAATAAAGGTGAGCTATATATAGCCGACACTTTCCTCCAGAAAAGGGAGGTATGCAAGTCTGGAGGCTTGTGTACTTTGGATGCACAAATTCTGCTCTTATTCCTCTTCCTTGCTCAAAGCTTTCCCCTCTCATTAGCCTGCATACATAACCTAAAGCTTTAAACTTTCCTGTATCAGACATTAATAGTAATAAAGCATCATTGCACATTTTGTAAAACCAAGGCAGCACTTCAGCTGGTCGATGACATTTTCTAAGGTCCATTTCTCTGTGACTTGTAATGCCCAGGAGGGTGATTATCTACTGGTAAATATATGCTTTTCATACCTTTTTGCTTATTCAGAAAAGAGTAAAATGATAGAGAAAATTGTCTGAGGACTTAGTGGTTTCACCTCCCCCATGGCACCAGCCCTTCTGATGCTTGGAAAATAAAATGCTTTCGTGCTCATTTCTGTCTGAAAGTGAAAGTGGCATAAAAACTAGTTAGGGTTAGGGAAATGTGTTTCAGAGCAAGCAGATCCTGCTTTTCTCAGTTCCAGGAACTACGGTAAGCTTATATGCAGTTGGTAGGAGACTAAAATTCAAACTGATGATCATTTAGCATGTTCAAAGTGACTGGGGAATTAAATTAGAGAGAGAAAAAAATATTTCTCTCTAACCTGTTGTAACTCATAGCTAGAACAACCTGACAGAGAGACTACAGTCATAGCCTATATTGCTCCCCTCTATCTCCATTACTGGAGGAAGCTGGATGACCCAGAAGCAGGGACCAGATGTCCTTCTTTGTGGTCTCTGTCCCAATGTGCCTGCAGAAGCCACTCCAGTCAAAATCTGTGGGGGGTAGTCTCTGCAGAGTGGAAAAGGGTGTGCTGAGGCTGGGGGTCATGGAAGAAGTCACAACCCATAACAATCCTCTTTCCAACCCTGGCAGATATATATCCTGGAGTTTATGCTGCATCAAGTAGCCTGACATTTTACTCTGGGTGAAATTCATCTCTATGCAGTAGGGCCAGAAAAAGACCACTGAACGCACCACTTAGGACTCACATAACCCTTTTGAGAATTTACGTTGGATGTTGCTGGCATATGAGTCTGTGCTGGCCGCTCTGCACAGAGATGAAAGGATTTTGCACAAGAAGGGCAGTAGCATCAAGGCTCCCATGCTGGATGGAGGCAGGTCCAGCCATTATCACTCAGATACATCACTAGTTCATTATTGTAGAATGAAGCTCATGTTTTATATAAGTATCCAGACTGAATCTGAACCTTTCAAAGTGTTGCGGCTCACCCATGGCTACTATAAGTAGCTAATGGATCACAGTAAATCCTCATTTCTGTTTTGAAGGGGGTTTTAATTTTTCAGTATCAGTATTTTTGTCTGTAAAGGCTCTGAGCAACCTCCTTTCTCTCCAGAGTGATTGTTTATGTTCAGAGTTTCCCTAATTAAAATAATAAATTAAATATGCACTGCAGAGATGTTTTAATTACTAGTATTTCACATTAACCGCTGAACCATCAAAACTCAGGAAACACCAGATTATCTATTATTTAGCATACAATTAAACGTTTTTTGGAGCGCACCTGCATATATTCTGTGGAGTTGGTGATCAGGAAGTGCTTTTCATGCCATTGATGACCATTGACTGTTGGAGTGAACTTCCCAAAGTCTCATGCCATTTTGTTTTTGTTTCTAGTTTTTGAGAGTGGACCAAGACAAAGACCGAGAATGCAGTCTGGACTGTGCAGGATCCCCTCAGAAATCACTTTGTGCTTCTGATGGAAGGACTTTCCTGTCCCGTTGTGAATTTCAACGAGCAAAATGCAAAGATCCTCAGTTGGAAATTGCATATAGGGGCAACTGCAAAGGTAAGCACTGCAAAGCCTGGTGTGTTCATAATGTAGAAAATTAAATTAAATTAGGGGTGTTTTACTCTGATAATCAGCAGGAACAGTGGGGTTTTAAGAGAATGGTTTCAACCCCACTAGACAAGAAGTCACCCAAATATCTCTAAGTATGGTAAGAATGGGAGGTCTAGATCCTATTCTAAACTCTGCCACTGATTTGGGGCCTGATGCAAAGCCTATTGAAGTCAATGGCAGTCTTTCTGTTGATTTCAGTGGGTTTGCATCAGGCCCATGCTATGTGATCTTGTTCAAGTGTAGCCTGGTTTTCCCATGGAGGGGGGGGGAGTTGGTAAAGTGATGAAATGCTCATCTGAAAGATGCTCTATTAGGGCAAGTTATTATAATGATATTATATACAAATATTCATCAGTCAGCACAACAGAAATAAAATAAACCCAACCCCTTACAAAGCAATTGATTTTTATTTATTGCATCAGAGGGATAATATAATGTTTGGTCTGGATTCTGCAAGCTGTCCTTTGCCAGTGCAGATGTCCATTCATGCAGTACAACTTTCAGGCTCAGGCCCTCTGTTCCAGTGTTTTACTGGCTGATGAATCTTCATATTAATTGTGCTACAATGAAAAATTCACTAAGGACCATTTCCATGAGTAAATATTTGTCTTAAGCAGCCACTTGAAAGTATCCCCCAAAGTTTCCGATACTAAATGGTTAAGTTTTTAGTTGAGAACCCTTCTCTGCTAGGCACCAGTATTTTGGTGATCCCCTGGCACCTCAAGCATCCATGTGTTAGGCTGGGCTGTGCATCTTTTTGTTTCACAAAATTGAGTTTTCTTGTTAGATTAATTCAAATATCTTTTTCTTAAAATCCCTAATTTTTAGAGACAAAATTGGTTTCTTCTAGAGTTGGATTTGCAAAAGTGTCTCTATAACTTAGGAGCATATATCCCATTGAAAATGAACGGGAACTGCATTCCTAAGTCACTTGGGTGCTTTTGGAAATACCACCTATAGTCCCTATGTGGTCACCTGTTCAATCATGTGATCATTTCTTCATCTAGGGCCTGCTCCAACTTTCATTGACTTCAGTGGGAGTTGGATTGGATCCTCACTGTTACTTTCTTTGGCCTGATGCTGCAATTTATTGTGCATGGGTGGACTGCCATGCCTGGAAAGATCCCTTCTGAAGTCAGTAGGGCTCTGATTAGCCGCAGCAGTTTACCTATGTGCAAGATGTTGTAGGATTTTGTTTATTTCCCTCCAATTTTTTGCAATTTCCTGAAGCAAGTGTTCTTTCACCCTTTGCATATTATTTTAGGGTGACCAGATGTCCTGATTTTATAGGGACAGCCCTGATTTTTGGGTCTTTTTCTTATCTAGGCTCCTATTACCGCCCCCCCCCCCACACACACTCCCGTCCCGATTTTTCACATTTGCTGACTGATCACCCTAATTTATTTAGACACACAAGTGCACCTCTCTTCAAGCCTGATTCTGTGAAGTGATGAGCATCCATAATTCCCTCTGAAGTAAATGAGAATGGAGAGTGATCCAGTCCTTGCTGGACTGGCTCCACAGTTAGGATTTTCCTGCCTGTACCTCAGAAATAGGAACCGAACAGAATCCTGTTTGAGGCGTCCTGCCTACCGCCTTCAGTACTTTCCATTGAGGCAGGCAGGCTCATTCTTCTACTTCTTAATTACATTCCTTTTGCTAGAAAAAACATGTTTGGTTTTGATTCAATTTAACAAACAAAAACAATCACCCAGGAGGTAAATCCCTGGGGTTAAATGACAAGAAAGAAGTCTTTTAAATTTGTGCTAGTTTTGAAATCCAATGAAATAGTTTGAGATGGCAGCAACACCTCATTCTCCTTCCCTAGTTACTTCATTTGTTTGTTTAGTTCTCCTTCTCCCCTAAGTTCATAGACACTGGGCAATCAGATGTCCCAACATTTCAATACCATTATTTAGTGATCTAAAACATGCACATTTTCATTCCTCCAAATCCGAGTCATAGAGACCTTGGGCTGGCATGCTTAGAGAAATGATGACATGCCTTCCTCTCTTAAATGCAGGGCTTGATTTTTCTGCTCAGTGCTCTTTTTTTTTTAAATATAAGTATAGCGGTGATCACAAAGATTTACCTTCCCTTACTCTCTAATAACAGCAAAAAGATTGAGACCACACAGACTCAACCTCTTGGAGACAATTTTCTACTTCATCTCTCTCTATTAGCTCCAACAAGCCTCTAAAGCACCAAGATTGCTTTAAGAGCCATTCTGTCTCCTCCTCTCCCTAGACGAAACATCATTCTAGCATTGTATTAGCTGATGGATCTACTTCCTTATATGAACAAAGAAAACATAATGGAGTTACTTGAGCCCAAGTGCCTGTTGTTTCCACTAACAACAGGAAGAATTATTGTAAACACTTTGTGTTACTGTACTGTACATATTTAAAACACTATGCACTCTGTGAAGTAAAGTGTTATGCATACTCCTTTCTTAATTATTTTTCCATGCAATTTACCAAATGCACTGACAATGGCAACAACAGAATTCTTTTCCCCCCTATAAAAATGTATAGAATTTCCCTATGCAACACTTGTGGGGATCAGTTCTAGCAGTGCTTGCAAATTTTTACTGCAATTGGTTGATATATAAAGTTTGCAGAAGTACTTTATTGCTGTGTACATTTTAACCTATAGCATTTTAGCACAATTGTAATCCTGGCATCTGACCACACAGCTCTGCTTGGGCAGCTTAAATATTACCGTTAGTTGTCACACACAGCTCAAGGTGGTGCTTTTTGTCTCTCAGGTCAATGAGCACGAAATTCACTCAACTTTAAATTTTATTTTTCTATATAGATGCTATACTGCTTTGGGGCATAAGTGCCAGTTGTACACCTGATGAATATCAGTGAGAAAGAGACTACTCCTATTTTCACTTTTAATTTCATATTTAATGTAATCAAAACACCCTTGGGGTGTTCGGTGACATGCCACTTCCCTCCTGCCCATGGCAGCAATCCTCTGAAATAACTCAAGCTCCGAAAACAAGTTTGAGCACAGAAAAAGGGAGGCCAACTGGTCTCACTGCAGTTTCAATCTTTGCCTCCCATATTGCTACACTGTCACCTTTGATAACCCTGATCAAACATTCTGCTGACGGTGCTGAGAAAGACTCCACTTCAGCCAACTGCCTATGGGGAGCGGAGCTTGTCGTTGCAGGTGATGGATTAATTAGTGAAAGAGCAGAGGTTTTTAGTAGAGCTGACTGAGAACGTTTTCATGAAAATTGAATTCTGTTTACATGTCTGTTTTTGGATCAAAACCTGAGTGTCTTGATTCAGGAAGGGGGGGAGATTCAGGTTCAAATCCATACATGCCTGATTCCGAGCAGAATTACTTTGAATCAGGCGGAGCAGGGACTGAGTCTCTCTCTTACCTCCTCCCCCAACAACTTCCCAATTAAAACTTTGGCAAAACTGATACATCTCCATGAAATATTTTGGCTTTGATGCAATTTCATTTTTGTCCAAAATGCTGTGACCAGCACTGGTTTCAGGTCAGCATATCCACTCAGCTCTTGTGACAGTTTCTGCCATCTAGCCTTGCTGAATAACTTGTAGTCAGCATTTACTCTTAAGCCTTTCACATGCCTGTTTACACGATCAAAACTGGGATATTTTTACATACACAATAAAATTTGAATCAAATTCAAATTAATGTCTCCTCACATTCCTTTCTCCAAATATTAGCCCCAGACATATCTCTCCTCCCACAAAAGCCAAGAATTCACAGTGACTTTCTTCTTTGTCCAATTCTGTTATCAATATTTGCTTGATATATTTATTTTGAGACTTTCAAAAGACTGGAATTACAGAGATACCGTTGTTTTAAAGGGCTTATTGTTTTCTCTTTTGTTTTGTTAATTATTCAGGTTTCATTTACCAGGAAAAGTTGACTTTTAAGGGAATTCCTTAACACCGGGGAGGAATCTATTTTTAAGTTTGGATTTTAAATGTGACAATAAAACTACGGACAGAACTTTAATCCCCATCTCCTTTCTCCCACTTCTGTCCCCTGTGCCTACATGCCTGTAACAGGCACTTAAATAGCTGTGTGTGAATTTTTGTTTTTTAAGATAATAAAATTAAGAGAGGATGAACTGGTCTGAAAACAGGTAGTTCGTGAGCCTTACACCCACCTTTGACCAAAATTAGAACACGCCTAATGTTAAGAAAAACAACAACCCTGCAATTCATTTTTCTCGCTCTTATTTTTCATTTTTGTGCACTCTTATGCTTCCCGGCAAGGCTGGAACCAGATGCCAAAGTGTTGGAAACATTGTGAGAAGTCTGATTCTTGTAATATTTCCAGCCCACTTTTGTAGCTTCAAGAGGTTCAGCTAGTTTGAATAAACTTTAGATGAACAGCCACATTTTTGGATGCTTCTCCAAACCAAACCTAAACTCTGAACTTCCCTCACTAGAAACAGACATTTGGTTGTGCAAGAAAATTGGTGCGAGCTGAGAAGCATCATTATTTGTGTTACAGTTGAACTAAGAAGCACTAATTGTGATTGGGTCCCAATGTATATATACATAGGAGGAGACTGCCCTGAAGAGTTTACAATCTAAATAGACAAGAGTGGGTAAAAGGAACTATTGTTATCCTTATTTTACAAATGGACAACTGAAACACAGTGAGATTAAGTGACTAGCTGAAGGTCACACAGGAAGTCTGTCATAGAACCAGGGATTGCACCTGGATTTCCTGGACAGTAGTCTAGGGCCTTATTCACAAGACTGTCCTGGTATACTTTACTTAAGCCTACTGTTATAACCAGTATAACCTGGAACTCTACTCTGAGGATTGATCCTCTGAGGTGCTGATCCTGTGAGGTTGACGTGCCTCAACTTCTATTGAAGTCAGTGTGATTTGAGGAGTCTTGGAACCTCGAAGGAGTGCTCAGTGCTTTTACAGGATTGACT